CAGACTCCATTACATCCAGAAAAATGCACCGTATGGACCTTATTTCTTCAAAAATGAGGCCGGATCTCGTTACCGCACCATGATCAATGATTTTTTGTTTAAAAATGTTTAAATATAAAAAATATTTAAATATATATTAATATTTAAATATTAAAAAAAAAAATGGATGACATTGATCCGGAAGAGATGTGGTTTTACCAGGATGGCGCTACGTGTCATACGGCGAACGCAACCATCGACTTATTGACATAAAATTTTGGCGATAAGTTGATTTCGAGAAGTGGCCTCCAAGGTCGTGCGATTTGACACCTCTCGATTATTTCCTGTGGGTCTACGTGAAGTCACTGGTTTATGCTGATAAACCAGCAACAATTGGCGCCTTGGAGGCCCGCATTGTTCGTGTTATTCGTCATATACGGCCAGCTGTGCTCGAAGAAGTGACTAAAAATTGGACGGTCAGAATGCACTTCGTCAAGAACAGCCGCGGTGCCCATATGCCAGAATTCATTTTCAGTTCTATCGGGCTTAAAAAAAAACACCCTTTATATTCATAACCAGCATAAAATTCTAAGTCGATTTAACAATGTGTCTGTTGAAATCACGATAATTTAGCAGAACAATTTGTATTGTGTCTAAGATGGTTGGTATTGAAAATGAGATGTATCTGTCTACGTTTTGGTATAGCCCCCATATAACGGTACCTCCCGATAATCGGTACTTTGATGATTTTTAAAACATTTTTCACGGATTTGTCTAAAAATTGGTATTTGTAGGTCATAATGGGTTCTAGTTCGTGTGGCGAAACATTGTGTGTATATGTCTACGATTTGGTGTAGCCTACATATAACGGTACCTCCCGATATTCGATATTTTGATGATTCTTGCAATTTTTTTTTCACGGATTTGTCTAATGGGTTCTAGCTCCGGTGGCGAAACATTGTATGTATAGGTCTTCAGTATAGCCTCCATATAACGGCACCTCCCGATATTCGCTATTTTGATGATTTTTACCAAATTTCCTCACGAATTTGTCTAGAAATTAGTATTTGTGGGTTATATTGGGTTCTAATGTTTCCTTTACCCTAAGGTGGAGGGTATTAAAAGTTCGGCCCGGCCGAACTTAATGTTTTCTTACTTGTTTTTATTACAACTACTAATGTGAATCTTGAGCTGAGGGTATTTAGAGAAAAAAACGAGAACTACAAACTAGAAGAATTCTCAAAACTAGATGCGAATCATCTAAAATCTAAACATAAGCCAATCAAGTTACTTTTTCCGTTCAATGATCTAATTCTTAATGGGTCAAGTTGACCACATTTTTTAAATGTAAAAATTTAAAAAAAAATTAAACGTATTGATAAAGAATAGTCAATGCTTTTATTGCGGATTGCATAAGAATATTTATAACCACCACATAATGGTAAGGGTATTATTTCTTAGTGCCTTTTGTTTGTAACATGGAGAAGGAAGCGAGATAGACCCATAGTTACTTTTGTTTCATAGAATCACTTTCTGAGTCGCTTTATGCATGTCAGTCCGTCCATGTATGCAAATTGCAGGTCGCATTTATTAACCGATTCTGATGAAATTTTCCAAATAATATTTGTTTGAAATTGGTCAGAATCGCCTCAAAATTAGATATAGCTCCCATATATTTCTTCAACCGATTTCGTAGTTAGTTCATATCAGTCCAAATGAATGAAATGAATTTTGGTACATCCGATTCATCCCAGAAATTGGTCAGAATCGCTTCAAAATTAGATATAGCTCCCATATATTTCTTCAACCGATTTCGTAGTTAGTTCATATCAGTCCAAATGAATGAAATGAATTTTGGTACATCCGATTCATCCCAGAAACATGTATTTCAAATTTGGTAAAGATCGGTTCAGATATAGCTAAAGCTCCCATATATATGTTTCACCCGATTTGGCGTTTAAGTCCCTCACATTCGTAATATGCACTCCAAAGGAATGATATTTGGTATCAAACATCAGATACAGCCCAGAAATACCTCTGCCAATTTTTATCAAGATCGTTTCAGATTTAGATATAGCTCCCATATGCCAATTTTTATCAAGATCGTTTCAGATTTAGATATAGCTCCCATATATATCCTCAACCGATTTCGTGTTAGTTGTCTACCAAATGGCTAATATTAGCCCAAATGACCTGAATTTTGATATATCCGACCGAATTCAGACATAGCTATAACTTGCATATATGTGTCTCATCCGATTTGGTGTTTAAACCCCTCACATTCGTAATATGTGCTCCACAGGAATGATATTTGGTACCAGATATCTTATAGAGCTCGGAAAAACCTTCATCAAATTTTATCGAAATCGGCTCAGATTTGGATATAGCTCCCATATATACCCTTAATTCGATTTCAGGTTTATTGTGCAAATAATGGCTAATATCAGCCTAAATGGAGTGAATTTCGGGAGGAATTCCGATATATATATATATATATATATATATATATATATATATATATATATATATATATATATATATATATATATATATATATATATATATATATATATATATATATATATTTAATATAATCCTTCTCGAAGTGATATCATGTTATATAAATATACCTCCTATTTTTATCTGCAGTATCGTCGAAGACACTACAGGGTGAGATAAAAAAACTGCAACTAAGTCAAACGATTCAATGTTTACATTTTTCTTAAATTTTATTGAATTAAAAGAAAAATGTCGGAATTAGCATTAAATTTTAGAATAAGTTTAGATTTGTTCGAATTGGTCACCTTTGGCCTTAAAACGGCCAATGCAACCGTCACACGCTACCCGAATGTTGATCTGCGGAATTTTGGGCCCATTCCCGGAAAACCGCTTGTTTGAGGTGATCGACACTTTGGTATGTTTTAGTGCCAACCTAGCTTTACAAAATACTCCAGACACTATAGCCCAACGGATTGATATCCGGAGATTTTGGTGGCCATTGTGCGCTGGAAATGAAGGGAGGAACCTCATTTTGTAATCATTCTTGGGTGATGCTGCTGAGTCCTGTTGGAATGTCCAAAACCCTCCAGAATATTTTCGCGATAATATTCGGCATTTATTCTGATGCCACGGTCGATTAATACGAGCGGAGAGCGACCATCGGCTGTCATTGCGGCCCACACAATCACCATGGCCAACGCTTGAGTTCAGGTGGCCAACCGAAGGTGCACATTTTCAGCTTCCCTCTTTGGCAAGTAAACAAGATCGTTTTGTTTGTTTACAAACTGCTGGACAACGAATGTTTTCTCATCGGAGAAAACCAAATTCGACAGTTCACCACTTTCGGTCAAGCGAAGCAACTCTTTAGCTCTTTGGAGTATATTTTCTTTCTGTTGCGGTGTAAGTTCTTGCACTTTTGGGAATTTCAATGGCTTTACCCCGAGCTAATTTTTCAATATTTGCCGAATGGAATATTGCGATATGTTCAGCTCACGAGCCATTTTTCGGCCACTTTCGATCAAGTCGCTTCTTTACTTTTCGAACAATTTCTGTTGCTGTTTTCTTCCGTCCACTTTCTTGACCTCGGGCTACGCTACCAGTATCACGTTAACGAGCGATGGTACGAGACACAAAAGATTTATTTATTCACATTTAAATGCTGGAGTGCTCTAACGGTAGCCTCTTGTGGTTTTCCAGTCAAATATGAAGAAATTACACTATCATACTTGAATTCCCTATCGAATAACTTTTTTTCTGAAAAATTCTCAATGCTTTTATACGCTTTTAAACAATATAATGAGCTGTCATTGGAATAATTTTAATAGCTGTCAGACGAGTGGCTTAAAAATGCCAGCAGTCTGAAGTTGGTTGCAGTTTTTTCATCACACCCTGTATTTAATCTAAAAACCAGTCAAACCCTTCTTTGTATTTTTTCTCTTTACTGCGCCAATTCACAATTCTCTCTTATACATTCTTGAATGTATTTAATAAATACCTGAAATATTTGAAGCGTCTGCTTTACTTCCGTTAAAAAATACTCCAAATGAGTACCCTTTTTTAAACCCAAACAGGAACTCTGAATTTGGTGGCCGAAAACTTTCTCTCAGCTTTTTGGCAAACTAAAAGCTTTTATCATCTTTAAATTTCATTGCGATTTATTTCCCCTTGCGAACAGATTTTGTAATTATTTCCCACGCATTGCAATTGTTATTGCGGACAGTTGTACTAAAGCGGAGGCCAAAATTTGCAAGCAAACAACTTGGGTAAAAAAAAAACCAAAACAAATGAAGAAGCTTTCATGGTAGACATGAGCAAAAACTTCGGTGGCATAGTCATCATCATCATCAATAAAATCCGACTTCTCATCATCATCAGCTGCAGCTTGGCTACCAAATCATCATCAACATCAAACGAAAGGAACTCTTTTTCAACAACCAAGTTCCACATTTGTTTTTTTTTTTGCTGCCACACAATGGCGAATAGTTACCACTTGTTGAAGTTAAAGTTGATGCCGATGTTTGGCTACACAGCAGCTCCAAAGTTGATAGCTTTAAGCCTCGCCGAAATAACCAAAAAAATATGCCAGCTAACGAATCACTCGCATCGCAGGCCAAACAAAAGTGTTGACGTTCATTGAGCCCCACTTGCAGTTTCAGTCTTTAACAAGATCTGCCAAAGCCAACAACATATCTCTCCGCTGCAAAATCCATCAACGAAACTGAAACGTGCGATTTTTCTTCTTCTACCACTTCTTCTTTGAGCTGAAAAGAAGTAATTCGGTTAACTGCTCATCGTCGTCGTCGTCGTTGTGGCTTGTACGAGTAGCTTAAACAAATATCCGCTGTTTCTTAAATCGATCGATCGCATATTGCCAGAGCTTCCATTGCGAAGAAACCCACTGACTAGCTGACTGGCGTTTCTTCCGTTGTTGTTTCATTTTTTGGCATCTCTTCTTCATTTCTGGCCACAATAGTACCACCGTACCGTTCGTTTGCTATTCATGTGCAAGCGCCTAAATCTTTTTTTTTTTTTGTTTGTTCGTTGTGAATCAGTGAGTGTATCTGTGTTCGAACGCTGGTGGTATATCTGAACCGAGCCGAGTGGCGAGCGAGCCGGTGTTGAGGCTTAAAATTAAAATCAAACTTTAAATGAATTTCAGTTACGTTTGAAACTTTTACCCAGCCAGTTGTGTGTGCGTTTTCCCCCAAAAAAAATACATTTCTGGTTCCGAAAATCGAGACAACATCTTTTGGAATGGCCAAAAACTAAACGACAAGAAAATTATTACAGCTCGTCCGTCGTCCAGACAAAAAAAAAAGTGATTAAGCTGACCAGCTAGGCGGGCACACAAACGTCCGACACAACAACGTTGTTTGCATATTTAAATTGTGGCAGATAGAAACAAAAAAAAAAAATAAATAAAAAAGAAAAGAAAAAGCCAAGCAGAAATAGATATCTTTCAAACATTTTGAGAATTTTAAATAGTCCATCATCAAAAAAAAACCTTGATTGTCATCAAATACGAAAAAAATACGAAATTTGTAACATTTTTTATGTGTGATTTTTTTTTGAAAAGAAAGTGAAAATTCTCTCTGAGAATTTTGTGAATAAAAATTCAGAAACAAGTGTGTGTGTGTCTGTCTCGTTAGATCGATCGGTCATTGACTGCTGTTGACGGCTGTAAACGTTTCCAGTGGATATTTATTGCAAAGTTCGTTCGTTCGTTTAAAATGAAAGTTTTGTCGGTGGTGCTTCTGAGCACCCTGTGCTGCTGGGCAGCTGTAAATGCCCAAGGATTTAATAACCCCAAACAACGCGGAGCTAATGATGTGGTGAGTAGGTCAAAAGCAAAGCAATAGGAATTCAAAAAAAAAAAATAAATAAATAAAGGAAAACTATTGAATAATCGAAAGATCGGAAGAAACAAAAAATAAGGACCATACATCATATTTGACGGAAATTTAGTTTCAGTACCAATATGTATATTTTGTAGGCATAGGTGGCTTTGGTAAAAACCGGTACAGCGGTGCTTAAAGAATATTTTGTCGAGAAAAAATGGTATTTTTGGTACAAAAATGGTGTCTTGTAAATAGGCCAAATTCTTACTTTTGTCATAAAAATTTCAAAGTCAGATAAAATAAGGACTCCAAAAGTGGACTTTAGAAATAAAAGATTAAACGACTAAAAATCTTTAACTTTAATAAAAAAAGTTATGGAGCAGAAGTTCTGGATTTTTAAGAAAAAAACTTAAGGGACCTAAATTATATGTAAAAGCCAAAAAACTTTTAAGAATCAAGATAGTGGTGGTGGATATTGCAAAAAAATCCGTAATTTTTATAAAGAAAATTAAAGGAAAAAAGTTATAAATATTTTAAAGACAGATAAAATAAGGACTCAAAACAATTTAATTTTTATGAAAAAAACAAGGACCAGAAGTTTTGGATTTTTAAGAAAAAAAAATTGAAGGAAAAAGTGATGGATAAAAAAAAAGAAAGAGACATCATCGGTTTTATAGAAATGATATGTAAGACCCAAAAATCGTAGATTTTAAGACTTTTATGAATAAAAATCGTGAATTTCGCAGAAAAAAAATTAAGGGGGGAAAATCCGCGATTTTTTTAGAAAAAATAATTAAAGGACCAAACATCATAAAAATTTCTAAATCAGACAAAATAAGGACTCCAAACATATACTTTGAAAAAAGGATTAAAAGATTAAAAATTAAGGAAATGTCGTGGATAAAAAAAAACTAAAGGGACAAAAATCAAAAATTTTTGGAAATGATATGTAAGACCCAAAAACCGTAGATTTTAAGACGTGTCTTGCCTTGGATTTAAGAAAAAGATGGGCCAAAAATCGTGAGTTTTTAGAAATGATATGTAAAACTCAAAAATCGTAGATTTTAAAACTTTTAAGAATGAAAATAATGGATTTTGAAAAAAAAGAAAGGAAAAAACAGTGTTTTTTTTAAGAAAAAAATTAAAGGACCAAAAATCTTGGATCGTCGACAAACATTTTTAAGGAATAAAAATTGTGACATTTTGGAAAACATTTGAAGACCATAAAAAAATTATTTTTCGGGGTCAGAAAAATAATTATGGTCCTTAAGAGAACTTTTCAAGGACTATAATCCAGAGCTTTAAAAGATTGTCTTATCTAAGTTTGATGTAATTTCTCAAGATGTTTGGCGGACTCCTACTCGTGGACTAAAAAAATGGAGGACTAAAATATTCCAAAAAATTTTTTGGATGGAATGGCAGATTCATAACTGCCGATTTCAAAAAAAAAATCGAGGTCTGGCGAGGCATAATAGTAAATTTAGATCCCCATCTGTGAATTAGTTAAGAACTTTCCGAAGGATAATCATATCCCTAATCTTAACTTGACTTAATCCTTTTCTAAGATCTAGCAGTGCTATTGCGTGATTTTTTAGGAATTTTTGTAATTTTTTTTATGAACTAGCTGACTCATATTCGCGGTTTATTAAATAACTTTCCGAAGGACTTGGAGTCCCATAAACGATGATTGTTTTAAAGAATTTTTTGGAAGACTTATAATCGTGAATTTTTTAATAATTTTTTGAAAGACAGGTTGACTTTTCGTCGGCGAAACATTCAATTGTCTTCCTAATTTTTTTTAAGGACATAGACCCATAATCGTTGACTTTTAAAGATATTTTCAAAGGTGTTATTTTTTTCTTTACAGAATTATCAGAGGACTATTAAGAATTTTTTTTAAACAAAAAAAAAATATTATACTCATATTCATAATTTTTGAAACATGTTTGAAAGGAACGTCTGACGTCTAAAGCTTCGTAGCAAGTTTCTCTGAGGAACGACAGGAATATAATAATGGATTTTTATATTCCAAAGGAAGATCTGGTTTATAATGGTGCAATTTTAAGATAATTCTTTATCGTTAAAAAATGATATTAAAAATCCTATAATAGAAGCTTTCCTTATACTCAGAAATTCGAAAATTAGGGTTAAGTTTATTGCTTAAGTAGGATTTAAGTTTAAGTTGCGAAATGAAGACAGAATTGTCAATTGTTATAAATAGGTTTTTATGTACTGAGGTAATTATAAATTCTGCCTATAAAATTCTGCATTTGATCTGTTTATCTTACCCCGTATAAAAACAGGACTAGAATATCCATTACTTATAATCAGGCTACCGTTTCATCAATTTGCAAAATCTGAATCCTATGATGAATTTTATAATGTAATAGAAAGTAATATGAAGTTAAGAAAATGAGGCAATATTCCAGACTTAAGCCATGTTAGAACTTTAACTTAGCGTGTGCAAGACTAATTTAAAACAGCGTGTTATACATTTTGGCAAAGGCTTGAAAATTCTCTCTTAATTATTCATTTTAACTGTGTGTTAAAATTTAAACTGAACAATAAAATTTATTTGATAAGACTATGGAAGGTCGGTATTCTTATAGGCAGTTCAAACATAAACTTATCCATGCATAAAAAAATCTAACATTATTCCCATTTACTGCCAATTAAGAGAGGTCATTCGAGTAATAACTCCACTTAGATATGAATAACATAATTAGATGCCTCATAGGAAAAATGCTGCATTTTATGCATCTCATACAGCAAACAAAATTCAAAACCCATTATTTCCATTATTTGATTTTTATTTGTAAAGACTTCAATGTGAACTCATTTGCTCACATCGTGTTTTTTCACAAAAGAAAACCCATGTTATTATTACCATCATCATCATCATTGCTTTTTGATTTTTTGTTAGTATTATTATTTGTAGTTTTTACTTTTTTATTTTTTAATAAAGGTATTTTTCCATTTCAAGGTCTACGATGATGGCCCTAATAAACAATCAAATATTCGTGTCAAATTTGAAATATGATGAAATAATGAATGATCATTAAATAAATTATGAACATCAATCATCGTCTGATGATATATCAATCTTATTTGGATTAATTTTTGGTTTTGATGTTTTGCTATACCTGCTTCTTTAAAACTATGCCAATTATGGGTGTTAAAGCACAAATTAAGAGATTAATCTTATCGAATGTAGATTAGATTTTTATTATGAACAATAATATAAACGATATGAAAAATAAACAATGAGAATATGGCTCATATAATTTCGGCGGGCATAACAATCTTCAACAGACTTTTTTGAAAGATTTGATCTACACGTAGGAAATTTCTGTACTTATCATAAATTTTTAAAATAAGTTTAATTTGTTTTAAATAATTTTTGGAGCACAATCTTGGATTTTTTAAAAATATGTATTTTTTGAAGGACTAGCAGAACCATAATCATTAAAGTATTTTTTTTTTTTTTTTTTTTTTTTTTTTTGAAAGACGAACACACCCAGAGAGGGAATTTTTGAAATGTTTTTTTTTTTTTTAATTTCTAGTCGACACATGACCCTAGGTATTTTAAAGATGTTTTGAAATCACTAGCAGATATATATTCGTTAATTTCTCGCTAAACCGAATTATCCATAATCGTGGAATTTTATATGCATTTTTGTAAAGATTACATTTGTAAAGAGTTTTTATCGTCGGTTTAAAAACGAAAAAAAAATAAACAGTAGAATTTTCTAAAGAATTTTAAGAGGGACTGGCAGACCAATAATTGCGGAACTTTTAAGAATTTTTCGAGGACTAGCTAGCCATAATATTAAATTTATATTCCCAATTGTGGATTAGTACTTTCAGAATGATCCGATGCTGCAACATTTAATTTCCAAAATGGTGAAAAAAATAAGTTTTTCCTTAAAATTATTAGCACATCCTATAGTGCGAAATCCAGGAGTTATGTATAGTTCCATATGAGTAGTGATTTAAGGTGATACCATTAAAAATCTGGTTCATTTCAAAAAAAAAAAAAAAAATAAATAAAATAACGATTTTAAATTTTTCCTATAAATCATCAGCAAGTCCCATTCTGCAAAATCTGGGGGAAGGGTTAGTTTCTTATAAAAGATTCCATTGAACAGATGGAAAGGAGTGCTTCCAGAAATGCCGGATGCTGAAATATATCCTTTCGAAAATCAATTTCTATACATATATCCTCAGCCATATGGCTAGAAGGGGGATTATACAGGGTGAGATTAAAAAAACTGCAACAAAGTCAAACGCCATAATTTTTACACTTTTTTAAAATTGTATTGAATGAAAGCAAAAAAATAGCATAAAATTTTAGAATAAGTTTAAATTTGTTCGATTTGGTCACCTTTGGCACGAATTATGGCCTTCAAACGGCCAATGAAACCGTCACACGCCGCCCGAATGTTGCTCTTCGATATTTTGGCCCATTCCCGGCGAAACGCTTGCTTGAGGTGATCGACACTTTGGTATTTTTTAGGGCCAACCTTGCTTTCCAAAATACTCCAGACACAATAGTCCAACGGCTCGGTATCCAGAGATTTTGGTGACCATTGTGCGCTGGAAATGAAGCGATGAATCTCATTTTGTAACCACTCTTGGGTGGCGCGTGCTGAGTCCTGCTGGAATGTCCAAGTTCTGCGGCCAAAATGTTTGCGTGCCCAAGGCTTTAATATAACATCCAGAATATTTTCGCGATAATATTTGGCATTTATTCCGATGCCACGGTCGATTAATTCGAGCGTAGAGCGACCAACGGCTGTTATGGCCATCCAAACCATCACAATGGCAGGCGCTTGAGTTCTGGTGGCCAACAGAAGGTGCATATTTTCAGCTGACCTCTTTGGCAAGTAAATACGATCAAACCAACAAACTGCTGCACAACGAATGTTTTCTCATGGGAGAAACCCAAATACGGCAATTCACCACTTTCGGCCAAGCGAAGCAACTCTTTAGCT